TTTTAATCTCTAATCATACATGTGATTTGTGTATGTCTGTAAGTTCTATTTCTTCCAGAAAAATTTGTGTTGATACTGTATCACTATTACGCAAATGACATATTGATATAAAAATAAGTAAAAATTTTCTTAATTTATCAAAATTTCCAAATGAAGGGTCGACTTTGAGATTTACTACGTACGTAGTTATGTTATCTATTATTATTATGCTGGAACAATGATATTATTACTGTATTCAAAATCACATGTATGATTAGAGATTAAAAATGCACGCGTGATCTGTTGTATGACAATCAGATTGTTTGTATAAACTATAAAAAGGTGAATGTACGACTATTTCTTGCTAAAAAAAAATTTTTGTTTTCCCAACAATCATGTTTACTTCTACTTTTTTCAGAGAAAAAGAATCTCTTCCTGCCATAAATGTAGTAGATGGATGGGATACGGAGATGCTAATTAGATTTTTGAGCGAGCAAAACTTAAAACTCAGGGAGGACCATTTCGAAAATAGGAAATTGAAGGCTCAGATTTCTCAAGTCAAACCAGGAAGTACTTGAAAGATGGAGAATGCCAGGTGGACCGGCACGGAGAATTGTGGAATTATTAAATAAAATCAAGAGCAAAGAACAGGGTAAGTAGTACCACGACTGCATTCGAATATTCCAAATCTATATTGCTTTCTCTGCAATAATTTTATTTATAAACTTGTGCATCATACGCTTATTCCGTTGTATAGAACAAAAGCTTTAAGGTTTGCTAATTTATGTAATCCTATTCACTAATGTAATATATCCTTGTACTGAAGAAACATGGAAATATCTATTTGTCCTTTTATTGATTTTATTTACTGCTATCAAACGTGAAAAAAATAACCAACTAATGTGTATTATCTCCTCCATATTAGTAGCACCCTCCATATTAGTAACACCAAAAGGTAAGTTCCAATTTCCTTAATTCTTCTTTTTTCCCTTCTGCTCTTATTCTGACTACTTCATTATTATAGATATTTCCATTGAAATAATAAAGCAATTAATTCAAAGTCCTGATCAACTTCCTCATAAATCCGACTTGGCAAATTTCCTTAACGAAAATCCTCCAGTAAAAATACCGCTTGCTCCTAATCTTTTTTACCAAATTAGTACTACGGGTCCGGATGGTATGACTGAAAAAGAACGAGATACATATTTTATATTAAGTACAGAAGCGGAGTGTACATTTCTCTTCGCAAAACTTTTAGGGCAATTAAT